TTCATGCTTTTAGTTTTTAGTCTTTCTTGGTTGATTTCAATACTTTTGTATTTATGATTTTATGGCACTGTAAGCCGCCTAGAGTTGCTTTGGCTAGTGAGATGGGTGGCATATAAATTAAATAAAGAAATATCTGCCTAATAAGGTACAGTGAATGATGCTAAGTATGCTGCAGAGAAGAGGAAGGGAAGCAAACATATTTCTGCACTTACTTTGAACAGGTAGACAAGCCATCTTATAAACAGAAAAAGCATTTAAACTTAATACAATTGCTTATATTTTCAAAAATACATAATTTATAAATGAAAAGATATTTGGAGAGAACCATCATCCACTTGGCCAGTTCATATGGAATCCAAAAATCCAATGGTTAACTAATCTAACTGAATGTTTCATAAGCACCTCTTCAAAATAATTACACCACAGATCTTTTTGTAACCCTATACAAATAAGTGTAATAAATACATAAACATAGTATATGTTGCCTCTGAGTGGTACATGGTGAGTCTGAACATCTTTGGCATGCACAGTACAACACCAAGTCAAACTGTATCATAGTATAAGCTCTTGTTTGGAAATATCTGGCAATTCCCACATTGATTGGGAGAGGCATTGTGTAAACATGACATAATTTTTCTTCTGTGAACTTTAATGGCCCAACCAATCAGCACCCCTCAGTAAAGGACTTTCTGCTCGTTGAGACTGCAGTACTTAGACCCGTAGTGAAATAGAGCCTACAAAGTAATTAATTGAATTACAGTGCCAAGATTCTAGACATTATGAAAACAGACTTTACTAAAGCCACAAGCACAAACTCATCTGTAACAGGAGAGGGAAGTGCATCTCTATCATTCTGCAGGGGATTCCAAAAAGCAGGACGCACACAATTTCCTTTCAGATCAGGAAAACAGAGGCTTGACTGAATAAGAAATAGTTGTTAATCAGGTAATGAACTTACAGTGTTAGCTATTAAAGTATCATAGACATTTTTTACAGCTCTGACACTAATACGTATGGCTTAGGGAGGCAATCTCCAATATAGTTCAACTCATCGCTTTATTTAGTAAATGAGGACGACATATTATGTTTTCTTAAACTTATTTTAGAAATGACTAGTTTGGATAATGAAACATCTGCAAGAAAACAACCAAGTTCAGAGAGCACCAAGGACCCTTCACTTATTTTAGAGCTAACTAGCATGTATTTATATATGCATACATATTCAGACACATCTGGGCAGTTGCTGTGTAAATACTATATCCACATGTATCTTTAAATAAATATCTAAATGTCTAAGAAAAAATAAAAATGCAAGCAGAAAAATCCTTGTAGTTCCTACACTTTTCTTTTATAGGCAGCAAACGTAGCAAGATCTGTACATACTTCTTTATTTAAAAGAACATATCAAAACAGTCCAAGCATATTGCATTGTTGATTTTTAAAAAACCCTTCTCAGCCCTATGTGGAGTATGTCCTTTCTCAATCTCAGGTCTTCTACCAGAGGCCTGGGATTTTGAGGGTTCTGTTCAGTATCTTAAGTAGTCCTAACATTGCACTCTTTTGGAAAGAGAGTTCTGATGTCATTCCTGGGATAGAGATAGAAATAGAGACAGAGATAGAGCTATAGAGAAATATATACACATACACGCGCACACACATCATTTCTGAACATGGGTAAATGCACATTTTGTGAGCGAAAACTCCCCATGTGGACTTTTCAATTCACACAAAAAATATCCTGACAAGATCTGCCTAAAATTTGGGTCAAAGGTATAATACATTAGAAAACACATGCTTTTTAAAAGAATATCATGTTTTTTTAGGGCAAAGACCAGGGAAAGAATCAAAAGTAGCATAATGATTTAATCCCACTAGACAATTATTTGAATTTCTTGTGAGCAAATGGAACTTACGGAAGCATGGTATAGCCAATCTTTCAAACAGGGGATAGTAGGGATTTATGACATAGCCCATAAAGCTGATCTAAAAAACCAGTAACTACAAGATGGAACTATAAAGTGATTTATTATAAGCTTAGGTAATTGAAGAGCAAGAGATGGTAGATACAGCAAATGAATAATTATCTGATTATTTAATAAAGTATATACAATCTCTGTGCAAGGTTTCAAACGACTGAGCTGCTTTGATAGAAATCTGTGTGAAGCACTTCTTCAACACTTCTTTATAAAGCAACGTGGCCTTTTGCTTCTAAAGGCAAAGGGGCCACATTATTTTTCCTCATTTCTGAGGTCTCTTTAAGGTGGCAGGTCCCCAACCTTTACGGCTTGGTGGCCCAGCGGTGGGGAGAGGGGAACCGGCTTGCTGCTTGTGCCACTCACACAAGTTGAGCTGTGCGCACACATATGCACCAGCCAGCCATAACTATACATGCAACAAAAATGGGGTGGGGGGGTGGCAGCAGTGCCACTCTGCTGATTGAAATAAAAACAAGCTATCTATTGAGTGAGATAGTAAATAATTCCAATATAAATTTCATATGCATTACTAACAAATCAGTTCTTTTACACCCTATAACTGGATGGTATTACGCACGTGCACAAGTGCTCACCTGCCAGTTCCATGGCCCAGTTTTGAAAGGCTCAAGGCCCAGTAGTGGGCCACCGCCCAGGGGTTGGGACCTCTGTTTTAAACTACTAATCCAGTTTTGTATTATCTGCAAATTTGATAAGCAATCCCTCTCCTTCTTTCTCCAATTTATTAATAAGAATGCTAAAGTGAATCAGTCCCAAGAATAGAACTCTGCAAACTCAGTTCAATGCATTGAGAAACTATGATGAGTATTCTTTAACTGCAGTTTTCGAGACAACTGCAGAGTCAGCTAACAGAAGAATCAACTGGATGACATGTTTAAGTGCATTTCTATATGTAGACACTAATTATCTAACTAAGCCATAAGTTATCTATGTATTTGAAAATTTTACCAGCTATTTCTTGATTGATTACACTCTCACTATAATAGATAAGATGACGTTGTGCTTGGTAAGTAGAACACTGCTTGGGAATATTATTGAATGCCTAATATACAATGTAGCAAGTACATACTACTTCACAAACAGTTCTAGAATCACTGGGACTGCCATTTTCAAATGTGCAGGCAAAGCAAAATTAACAGAAGAGTCAGCATACAAAACAACTCATACACAGCAATATAACAACCACATTCAGTTGTGTAATGCAGAACTACATTGACAGGCATTCACTGTCAATTCCTCTTAGAGGCTTGGAGAGAAGAGGGTAAATGGATGGATAGATATATGGACAAACAGCAAGCAAGCAAACTGTCCCTCTTAAGAATTCCAATAAGAAACAGTGAATGCAAATGATCCTTGGTCCATTTTTATGTACTTAATATAGCTGCAGGATAACGGAACTTTAACAATACCTCCCTAACTGTGCTTAAAAATATCCCGCACTGTTAAAATTAGCCATTGGATATGGCAAATTATTATATTTATGATGCCCTAGGAACATACATGGGTATGTTTTAATATGTTTATTGTTTGTGATGCCTCCAGTGACTCTGCTAATGAACAGAAGTTTTCTAATTGCAAGTTATTCAAATAATCTTTAAATCCTTTTGAAAGATTTTGCCTGGACCCTATCTGGCTGCAACTACACCAAATTACATAACTGTTGCATTACAACATTTTTGCTGCAAGCAGAAGTTGCTTACTGTATTGCTTTGAATGGTTGAGATGACAGGTAGCATTTTCTGTTGGTGGAATCTTCAGTTATTTGGCAATTTTCTTGGGGAAAGCCTTCTCTTTCATTTTACTCAAATAGTAAATTGAGCAAGTAGGAAATTGGGGAAATGGGAAGAAGGGAGATGAGTGGTTTTACACACACACACACAAACATATGATATCGCATTTTAAAGTGAAGTGCTATCAACTCTATAGTTAATAAGTCTTCAAAGTAAAGCAATTAGATGTTCATGAACTTTTTAATTGCCTCTGCATAACAACAATACACAGCTATCTAAAAATAAAGAAAGAAATATAAGACTTGGATGGTGGAGGGAACACAAATATCAGATTATGACAGTGAACAGGATTTAGATGTGCAATATGTTTATATGCATGTTTTCTTGATGTGTTACATTACATCAGATGTTAGGATAGGCTATTACTAACGTGTTTATTTTCACTGCTTTTTGAAACATGAAGTACCATTTCAAATTAATGTTTGTTCACGTCTTCACCTATAGAATAATTATTCAAATATGTACTAATGAATGCTTATTAAGTTATTGACTATAATAACTGAAATGAAAGGAACTTTACAACTTTACAAATTTTTTTTGCAAAATTTGTTTGAAGCCATTGTTCAAATGCTATTTATAAAACAAACTAAAGAAGCACAAGAGTTAAGTGTTGAACAATAGTTTTAATGAAACCAAGCATAGAGATACAGAGCATAAACACATAACTAAACTGACAACTGCTTTTATAAATCAAAAATGTGGAAAGTGTTGAAATATTTCTAGAGTGTTTATGGCCATTTCAAATGCTTTTATTTTGTCACCAAAGCAGTATTTCTAGTATTTCTAAGGATGGCCACATGTGGTTTCTGAACTACATAGGGGAACAACTTGCACCAGGTTTGTATCTTAAATCCTGAAATCTTAGCAAGATTTATTAATAAGAAGATGCACTCAAATATCCTCATGGATGAATGTTTATGTTAAAAACATCACCACACCAACAGAGAAGTATCATGAGGATGATTCTTCTCATCCAGGGGTAACATGTTTATGAATGCAAAAAAACAAATATAACGTGAGACCTACCATCTACAGGTTATTCACCTGATTTATAACTTTTCTATTTGCATTTCCATTATCTGCATTTTCCATCAGAAAGCAGCATAGAAGTCAAAGAAAAAAAGAGGGAAATATTCCTAAAGTTAAGACCTACTTAACTGAAGGGAAATGAGAAAGAGAATTAAGAAAGAAAATAAAAGAATCAAGTCCACAGTACCTGCTGCTGCTGAAAATGGAGGAGTTCCACTGGGCTCATTTCTCCATTGGTTTCTCCACTGGCTCCTCCCTCTCTTCCACATCCTCCTCCTCCACCACCACCACCACCACCTCCTCCTCCTCCATCAGTCGGATTGTTTAGGCTGCTGACACCATTTTGACTGGAAGGAGTAGAACGTATTGTCTCTGAGGCTGATTCAACCATCATGACTTGCTAGCAGCACCTTTATAAAGAAAGAAATAACAAGATATCTGAGCAAAAGTGTGAGCTGCAGGTTCCAAATTATGTTTGAGGATAGCATTCCAACAGGTGATGTTTTATTCCTTTATCCTCTTTGCAAAGGAGATTTGCAGAGAATAAGATTTATACACTGACTATTTTTGTGTTTAAAATATAGTTTTTTGACCCATTTGGTATTATTGAATTTATAACCAGATTATGCATTCCTGTTCTGATAAATAATTTCTGGTGTACTACATCTGTGATAATAAAACTAATAAAACAAGGCCATCAATGCAGAACCAACATTACCAATCAAATACATCTCTTTTTTCCTTTCAATATTGTTCTTATGAGAAAGGGAAATTCAGGACTGTTAGAAAAAGGGAAATTCAGGATTGTTTCAGATAGAAGACAGTGATGTCAAGAAGGTCTAGGACAGTGGTTCTCAACCTTTTTAATGCCGCGACCCCCAACTGGTCGTAAGTTGAGGACTACTCAACCGGTCGTAAGTCGAGGACTACTCAACTGGTGCAGCACCGTTTGCAGAATGGGATTTTTGACAGGCTCAGCAGGGCAGAGACAGCCTGGACAATTCCTATTGGCTTTTGAAAACCAATAGAATTAGACTCTATTCAAGAGAGTCTATTCTATTGGCTTTCAAAAGCCAATAGAATAAAAGGGAGTAGCACAGCTAAGGAAAAGGGGAAAAAATGGCGGACTGCGTTGTTTGGCGACCCCCGTGAAATGGTCGTTCGACCCCAAATGGGGTCCCGACCCACAGGTTGAGAACCACTGGTCTAGGACAACTTGCCATGGCCAACTCACCGTGGCCAACTCGCCATGGCCAACTCACCGTGGCCAACTTGCCATGGCCAACCTGCCACAGGTCAAAAGTCATACTAATATGAAAGAAATGATGGAATAGGGTCATTAAAGAAAGGATGCAAAACGAGGTACAAAATAAAATGTAAATGACAAAAATTAAAATATATTTTTAAATTATTTTAAATAAATTAAATTGTGGAATTGTCCCATAGGGAGTAGCAAGTTGGCTGTTGGAAGTTGTCTTGCAATAAGTTGGCTACAGTGAGTTGGCCATGGTGAATTGGCTGTGGCGAGTTGGCTGTGGTGAATTGGCCATGGTGAGTTGACTGTGGTGAATTGGCCGTGGCAAGCTGTCCCATTCTGATGTCAAGAAACCTCTCCCTTGTATAAAGTTCTTTCACAGAGGTATAGCAAATTGTACAATAAAAATGTAAGTGTGAATTGATGATGCTCTCAGTTTAATCATAATATTGTGGAGTCTTTTACCTAGCTCTCTAGTCACCACAAAAAATTGTTTGAAGAAATGACAATTTCACCAGAAAGCAAGAAGGTGGTTCAAAAACTCTGCCCCTTTTATATAGTACTAGTTAACAAATACCAAGTAAATATCATGTGTATTGTTAAACATGAATTTTATTCCTATCTTTTCCTTTCTTTTTTCTTTTCCTTTCTTTTCTATAACTTGTATAATCCTATGTCACCAAGAAACAATTATTATTATATTATTGTTATGCACCAGCCAGAGTCGCCTTCACTGAAATAGGTGGCTATATAATTTGATCAATAAAATAAATGTATTATTTTATTTTATTTTTTATTTCATCTGTATCTGTTTCCCCCCCCCCAAAAAAAGACAAAACCAGCCAATATCCATATATAAGGAAATACAATGTTTTAAGTGCAAATACTGCACAAATCTTTCAATAGAATTTTCATTCTATCCCAAAGGAAAAATAGACAATATAACATTTATTATAATTAACAAGGGGATCATAAAATATTTTAATCAGACACACACACCAATATCCCCACTTCAGCATTCAGCATACTAAATCATCTACATTGGGTACTAATCTGCTCTTAAAGTACATACAGCAAGAACTGGGCAATTTATATAGCAGTAGTATAACACAACCACCACCTCATGAGATCTTACAGGTTAAACCCAACTTTTCAATCCAAATTAATACAGAGACAGAGTGTTGTTCATTTGCATTGTGTTCAAGCATTGTTAACAAAACAGGCAGTAATGCACAACTACTATCTGATATGTGCAAATTGTACAGGAACATTGCAACAAACAAAGGCATACATTCAATTTCACAGCTACTAAGATTGTTGGCTGAGCGGGTACAAAAATATCCAGGAAAATGGTTGAAGCTTGGGAAACATGCCCCTTGTCAGTCAATCGGAGTGCTAATTTACCATCAGCTTATCAGGTACTTAAGAGCAAAGGACTTGGCAGCACAAGGAAACAAGAGCCAACAACTTAATAACCAGCCAACAATAACCCAATCAACAACTAAAAAACTACACACATCTAGGCATCACATAAATATTACTCATAGTACAGCCCAAAGCACACATTCTGTGAGAGGGAAGTTCCCTGAGGATGGGCTACAGCATGAATCTGAAAACACAGAAGACTAAACTTCTGGTCCCAGTGACTGACCCAGATTGGATCCTGGGAAATGTATATTTGCCTTCATTCTTTATACAGGAACACTTCTGGATGTAAACCAGTGAGAAAGTGCTTGATTGAAGGCATCTGTAGGTAATCTAACATTTGTCCAACAAATTTCCTAAAAAGTCCTATTTGTGGACAGTATTCAAATTAGGAAGAGCCAAATTGGTGTGATGGGTAGAAGCCATGAGGCTAGAAGCTGGGAAGCTGTGAGTTCTAGTTCTGTCTTAGCCAGCTAAGTGATCTTGGACCAGTCTGTTTCTCTCACAGCCCTAGGAAGAAGTCAATGGCAAACCACATCCAAAATCTTTGCCAAGAAAACTGCAGGAACAGTCACCAGGAGCAAAACACTGATTTGAAAGAACACACACAGAGAGATCTGAAAGCACACATAGTGTCTTCATAGACACTATCAGGTAGTTAGGAAAGTATTGTCAAAGGAGCTCTAGAACTCTCATATTAGTGACACTTTGCAGGAAGAATGCTGGGCATAGTGAAAGTAAATGAATAAAGCTGGAAAATCATCTGTCATGAAAAATGTTGCTCCAGCTATCTAATTCAAAGTTTTCATTAGAGACAAGCAATGCTAAATTAGGTTAAAAGAAACTGTAAGAAACTGTTCCAAATACAGAAGAAGATTTCTCATATGGTGTCTTCAGATACTGAATATTTACCTATAGCTACCATAATATGCAACTATGACTGTGCTAGTGAAGATAAGAACTGCATGCCGACACAATTGGAGAGCAAAATAGTTAGGAAAGCTGAGAGTTTACAATTTCTACATCACAAAATGTTTGTGAAGACAAAGAATCAGGAGAGAAACACACACGCACACACACAATTATGACCAAAGATACATGATTCTTCCAGACACAGGACACAAAGATATTCATTTATTTGTTAAATATGTATCCCACTTTACTTCAATGAGCTCAAAGCTGCTTACACAGGATTCTCTGCTCCAATTCCTCTGACCTCAAGGATCAATTCTATTCAGTGGGTTGGGTTGAGAAAATGTGACATGTCCAAACTCACCAGAGAGTTTCCTTGGCTGAAACCAAACTTGAGTCTGGGTCTTCCCAGTCACAGTCCAATATTTGACCATTATACCACACTGGCTCTCAACACCTCTCTACTCAAAAATTACAAGAGAGTACTTAAACAGCATAAAGAGGTCAACAGTGGGAAAGACTGCTCACTTCTTCAAAACCATTAGCACACCATGGCATGTGAATTCATTATGAAAGACAGTCATACTTGAATTCTCCAATATAGTAACAGAGAGTAATTCTACTCCTACCCTTTATAGAAAGGTTCAGAATATCATCCAATTTTATTTTTTAACATTAAATAATGCAAATAAGGTTATATGTATTTTCCCATTAAAAACTTCTAAACTGTAAAAGGATAGTCTCCATTACAACTTTTAAAAGCTAGGAAGGAGGGGGAAGAATGGAGGCATTCATCTCTCTATGTGTCAATCCTTCCTCTCAACTACGTTAGGGCTTAGAATGAAGAGAAACAAAAAGCAAACTTGCTTGCCCTTATGCTGCCACCCTCTCCCATGGTAAAATGAGAATAATATAAATTCCCAATCATCAATTCCTTCTCTCAGCTCTGTACACAGACAACAATCTTCATTATTGCAAGATCCATAAGGTGTTGCTGTTCTCCCCTGCTTGGTATGGGGCAATACACTTCCCAGTTTGAATGTGTGATCTTGGGAAAGATAAAGCTTTCCTAAATGTTTGAACAATAACAACTTAACATTTCTCCCATTCCCCTCTCACCAAAGCAAAAATACCCAGATCCTCAAATGAAAAAATACAGTGCAGAAATTTTACTTTTATTTGTCCCAGATAGTCAAACTAATAATTTTGAAAGTAATTTGTGTGCTTTGCCCTCAGCTCAAACCACAGTCAGTATCATGAGATGAACAAAAATCTGAAATGGTTACTTGCTGAGTAAATTGCCAGCAAGGCTTGTCTATCATAAGAATTGTCTCTGGATAGTCCCAGCATTTGGTACCAGTATGTCTTTAATATAGGAAGGCTGGAAGAGAAGGGAGCTTCAAAGAAGTCCTTGCAAGGTACTGCTGTTTATGTTCTTAAGTTGAAACTCTTAAAGATGTTTTCTAATCATGATCAGTATTTCCTCTACCACTATTAAAATGAGTTATTCATCTACAAAGTAAAAGCAGACTCAAATATGTATTCAAAGTATTTCAGTAATTTAGAAAATTGAAATTTAAGGAAGAGAGAGAAAATCTGTAGCTCAGGGTTGAACTGTGGGGTCCTCAGTGCTCTCTGAGCTTCGTTATTTTCTTGCAAACATTTCATTACTCAGCTAGGTAATATCATATGAGGAGGAAATGCCAATTGCTTTAAACTGATTATCACCAATTTTAAGTGATAATCAATGAGTAATTTCTGCTATTGTAATTACATTCAGAAGTCTAGAATCAAACTAACAG